AATCAATGAATAATCATGTTCTCAGATGAGGATTTTAAAAAGTAGAGTTTCAAAAAAAAGTAATTATTATCCAATATTTCCACACAAAAAATTGTAAAATCAATTGAGTGAAATAATTTTACCTTATATGCTTAAGTCATTATTATATGATTAACAATAGTTTTTATTATTAATAATTATAATCCAATTTTCTAGTTCTGGTGGTTCAAAAAGTCTTTTTTTTCTAGTTCTCAAATTCCATAACTATTAGTGTCAACTGGTTGTTGCTGTGGCAGGAGGTACGTGTAACACAATCATGTGGGGAGGGCATCTTCTGCTTTTAACTGCAGCCATGCTGGCAATCACTGGGGGACTTCTACTTTAGACTTCCAGAGCACTAAAGCTGAAAAAGAAAAACAGATACCCTCCCCTTAAATACTAACTGAAGACATTTTATGACTAATAAATAAACAAATCTCTCCTAAAAGAGATAAAAAGCCAATATGTATGTCATATTTCTTTCCTTTTTTTAAAAAATTTTTTTAAAGATTTATTTATTTTTAGAGAGAGGGAAAGGGAGGGAGAAGGCAAAGGACAGAACCATCAATGTGTGGGTTGCCTCTTGCATGCCTCCTACTGGGGACCTGGCCTGCAACCAAGGCATGTGTCCTAGACTGGAAACCAAACTGGCAACCCTTTGGTTTGCAGGCCCTCACTCAATCCACTGAGCCACACCAGCCAGGGATGTATGTCATCTTTCAAAGTCCCTATTTTCTGCGAGCTTGGCAACTTTTAGTTTGTTTTTGTGGTCAGCTCATATTGGGCTGACTCAGCTGCAAGTTAATTGTTTCTTCTTCTTCTTCTAGGCTACCTGCTCTTGTGTTTCTAAGACTTGACTTTTTTCAAATAGGATAGGCACCTGAAAGGTGTTATATTTTCTTGGCAGAAATAAGTAGACACACAGTATGCTATAGCTTAAAATCTATTCTGCAATAACATGGCCCAAGTTCCACGTTCTAGATTAAAACTTAAAATGATTTCTGCTGTGGGTGCAGGCATTCACTGCTCTGCGATACAGATCCATTTGTCATATAAAAATGTAACATGAAACCATTAGTAGGACATACAGAAGAACCAATGCAGTGTCAATAGCTTTTGGATATTCATAAAAATTTGAGGACCAGGATAAATTGTAGCAGGCATCTTAAGGCTAAAAAATAAGACCAGAAGAAAATTTTAGTTGTCATCTCACTAGTCAACCCAATAATGATAGCTTCCTGGTTTACAAAGGAGGCCAAGCAAGAACAAATGAGTGAATCAACATCTGACAGGATGGTCAAATGAGACACTCTCCTTCACAGTTTCAGCAAACTCCTGAGTCCCAGAGCAAACAACAGTAGCCAAGCAATTTCATATTCCTAAGCAATATCTGGACAATATATGCAAAATATGTAAAAATGTGGAAAGCATCCAGGTTTGCAAATCTTTGTTTCATGAAAGAAATGGAAAGTGAAAATGAAGAGAGAATTTCTATGTAAGAAGTTCTCCAAATGCTTTGTGGTCTCTCTTCCTTTTGGGCAGCTTCTACCTCACTACTTTAAGTGAGAAGACACTTCCATTGACCAACTTTGAGAGATGGACTTGTGTTTTTTGGAGCTTGGGGAGTGATAGAACCAGTATAAAACAGCAAAAGTTCAGCTTTACTGTAGCAGAGAAAGTGAGAGAGTGAGAGTGAGAGTCAGGGAAAAAAAGAGAAAAAAAAAAAGAGAGAGGGCTGCACTGGAGTGGGGGGGGTGCTGAATGTATTTCCAGCAACAGCTGAGCAAGGATGCATGGGTGTTTCTTGTAGACCAAATGTTGGCAATCGAGTATAGCAAGCCTAGTGCCATTCTGAACATTTTCCAAGAGGATTTCTGAATGGGCAACATGACTCCCCCAGAAGAATGGACAAATTAGAAGTCAAGGGGCCAAGGCAGGAATGCAGCAATGAATGGTATTGCCTCTTGAGGGAACTATTTTCATAGGACCTCAGTGGGAGGTGCCTTCAAAGAAGTGCACAAAGGCACCCCAAAAAGAAAGAATTAGCATGTTATAATCAGAGCATCAATCATCATGCTTATGCCAGTCAAGTAAGACTTATGTTGCCCTAACACCTCCTCTCTAACCTGACCCAGAGAAGAAGGGATGAGAGAAGAAAAGTAGAAAAGCAAGGTGAAGAAATAGGAAAGAATCCCCCTGCTCCCTCTCTGCTACTTCAGGCTTTCCAGACCAAAGCAGGTCTGAGCTGGGAGAAGGAAATAACTTTATGTGCTATAAACACAGGCCTGCACAGTTTTAGTACTGAAAATATATTCTTCTTACACCTAGAAATGATTGGAGTTGGAGACCTTTAATTATCTTAAAGTGCTTTTTAAGTTATGGGATTTAGCAAGATTTTATTCAAGTGGTGGGGAGAAGTTAGTCCACAGAGAGGTTTGAAAAGACAAGAGGGGAAAGGATAAAATTATTTTGTTATTATCTTATTAGCTAAGCCTATTAAATTAGTTATTACAAATAAAATCATTTTTATTTCTAGCCAGAATCATTTTATTTCACTTTGCCTCCTCAGGCAAGCAAAAAAAAGGACAACAGATTTAAAAACAAAAACAACCAGAACTGACATGTAACTGTCAAAACAGTCAAAACAAAATCAAACTGTATGGAAGTGTGACAACCAAGGAGTTAAAGAAGAAACATTTATCCAGACCACTAGGTGGGGCAGAGGTGGGCAGCTGGGGCATAGAGGACTCACAGCAAGGCAGCAGCCTGGGGCTGGAGGACCTGGGTGGGGAAGGCAGCTGCTGGTAGACCCAGTGAGGCAGAGGCTGGTGGGGTGGGTGGTCCTACATTCGTGTGCAGGTAAACCGGGAGGAACTGCAGTGAGACAGACCACACAACCCAGGGTTCCAGCAAAGGAAAATAAAGCCTCAAAACCTCTGACTGAAAAAAAAGGTGAGGTTTGAGTTGACAGGAGAAACTCCCAGCTTCACAGAAGAGTTCAATGGAAAGACTCACAGGGTTCTAGAATGTATACAAATCCACCCACCTTGGAATCAGTACCAGAAGGGCCCAATTTGCTTGTGGGTAGTAGAGGAAGGAACTGAAAGCCAATCAAGAGCTGAGCAAGTGGCATTGTTCCCTCTTGAACCCTTCCTCCACATACAGCACCATGATACAGCCAAGTGGGTTGCCTCACCCTGGTTAATACCTAAGGCTCTGCCCCTTACTATTTTACAGGCATGCAGAGGCAAAAAAAAAAAAAGCCCAGATGAAAAAACAGATCAAAGCTTCAGAAAGAATGCAACTAAGTGATGAAGAGATAGCCAACCTATCAGATGCACAGTTCAAAACACTGGTAATCAGAATACTCACAGAACTGGTTGAGTATGGTCACAAAATACAGGTAAAGATGAAGGCTACGAAAAGTGAAATGAAGGTAAATGTTCAGGGAAGCAACAGTGACAGGAAAGAAACTGATGCAAATCAACGGTTTTGGACCATAAGGAAGAAATAAACACTCAACCAGAACAGAATGAAGAAACAAGAATTCAAAAAAATGAGGAGAGGCTTAGGAACCTCTAGGACAACTTTAAACGTTCCAACATCCAAATCATAGGGGTGCGAGAAGGAGAAGAGGAAGATCAAGAAACTGAAAACTTATTTGAAAAAATAATGAAGGAGAACTTCCCCAATCTGGCAAAGGAAATAGACTTTCAAGAAGTCCGGGAAGCTCAGAGAGTCCCAAAGAAGTCGGACTCAAGAAAGTACATGCTAAGGCACTTCATAATTACATTACTCAAGATTAAAGATAAGGAGAAAATCTTAAAAGCAGCAAGAGAAACGGAGACAATTACCTACAATGGAGTTCCCATAAGACAATCAGATGATTTCTCAAAAGAAACCTTACAGGCAAGAAAGGGCTGGGAAGAAGTATTCAAAGTCATGAAAGTCAAGAACCTACACCCAAGATTGCTCTATGCAGCAAAGCTTTCATTTAGAATGGGAGGGCAGATAAAGCACTTCCCAGATAAGGTGAAGTTAAAGGAGTTCATTTCTACCAAGCCCTTATTATATGAAATGCTAAAGGGACTTATTTAAGAAAATAAAGATAAAATTATAAATAGTAAAATAACAACAAACTTATAATTATCAACAACTGAATCTAGAAATACAGAAACAAAAACAAGCTAAGCAAACAACTAGAACAGGAACAGAATCACAGAAATAGAGATCACATGGAGGGATTATCAGCATGGGAGGCAGTGGGGGAGAGAGGGGGAAAAGGTACAGAGAATAAGTAGCATAAATGGTAGGTAGAAAATAGAGGGGGGGGGTGTAACAATAGTATGGGAAATGTAGAAGCCAAGTAACTTACATGTACAATTCATGGACATGAACTAAAGGGGTGCTGGGATGCATGTGGGAGGGGTGTGCAAGGTGGAGGGGAATAAAGGGGGTAAATGGGACAACTGTAATAGCATAATCAATAAAATATATTTTAAAAAAAGGACAAATAAAATCATTTTCACTACTAAGGGAGAAAGTTACTCAAAAGACAGGCCCTCTGGTTATGCATTGACTAAACCAAAGCAGGAAGGTCATTCATTAGTTTAGCATATCAATAGTTTGACTTTTCAAGCTGCCTCCACTAAAGACATCTACCACTTTGAACACAATTTCTCATGGGAAAGCTTAGTGTCATTAGACAAGGCAAATGCTCTCCAGGATCCCATATTCTTGCTTGAATTGACAAAAGATCCTGGTTTTTAAGTGTCTCTGTAAACATTATTATTTTTGAAACACCTCATTTTGTTGCCTTGAATTGTGATTTCTACATGCTTCAGCTGAGTGATGATGAACACATTATTTAATCTCCCCTGACATAGCTTTTTATGCAAAATAAGACTGACAATGCAATTAAAAATACAATGAACATTTTAAAAAATCAAAAGCTACAAAAATCAGAAATCCAGAATAAATACCTCATGGAAATGGCATCCACAGTTCCCCTGCAAAAACTCTCTGTATCGCCCCATTGTTATAGTGAACGTGTCCACCACTTCATAGCCATATTTTTTTGCAGTATCCAGAATAATCAAGTTTTCTTTCCATAAGTTCTGTACTTCATTCTGTATTACAAAGTAGAAGAATGATAATTTTTATTAAGAGCATCATTTATGATTTAATAAATCAAGTAGAAATTGTATAAATGCCATCTTTTTTACCAATTTGTCTTATTTCAAGATAAAGAATTTCACATAAATTTCTTCAATAACGATGTGTTTTAATTTTTTAAATATTTTATTTATTTGTTTTTAGAGAGAGGGGAAGGGAAGGAGAAAGAGAGGGAGAGAAACACCAATGTGTGGTTGCCTCTCATGTGTCCCCTACTGGGGACCTTGCCTGCAACCCAGGCACGTGCCTTGACTGGAAATCGAACGGACGACCCTTTGCTTCACAGGCCCGTGCTCAATCCACTGAGCTACACCAGCCAGGGCTGTGTTATAATTTTTTAATTCAAGACACAAATGTAAACATCTATGTATAAATAAAACAGCAACACATAAGTATCTACAGTGATGTACAGTTTGGAACTTCCCTTCCTATACAAAGTAGTTAGCTTTATTGTCCACAAGGTCTAAGGAAATATCTAACCTTCTCAATTTAAAAGCCAAAATTAAAAAATCACAAAATCTAAAAATCTATTTTAGCTCTGTGCTGAGTGACGGGAATAGAATAAATAAATCATGGCTCCTGTTCTTAAGACATTACATTCCAATAGAGGAAACAGATATGTATACATTCACTAAGTTTTTCATTATGGGCAAATATACCAGGTTCTGGATAATAGAGAAAAGGAAATAGCTCTGCCAGGCAAAAGGGGACGGCTGGACAGTGGGGATTCAAGAGGTGGCTCCAGTACCCAGACAGGTTTGTCAGTGGGATGGGGGTGGGGAAAAAGAGCAGGGGAGCGTGTCTTGGGGATGGAGCAGCAGAATTGAATGACAGCTCCAGCTGCTGCTTCTCTGGATCATATTCCTTCCTCCCTCCCCAACCATGTCCAAGGCAATGATCACACTCCATAGGAGTTCTAGTTCAGGTCCACTGTCAAGAAGAGGAACTCCTCTACTCTAGCTCCAGTATCTGCTTGGCCAAGATTTCCTCAGGCTAACCTGCTGTCTGAGGCTCTTCCTGTGCACTTCATCCTTCTCCCACACACTTTCTATCAGATATGCCACAGCAAAACACAGGTCCCAATACACAGTGAACTCAAAAAGTGCTTGGTGTGAGGTTGAGTGATGTGCATTGGGTGCTGGGATCTGAGAGTCTTCCTGCCTACTCCTGTCCTCCCCAGTCTTCCCAGGCCTCTCCCTCCTAAATCCCCTTCTGCTAATCTTCTCTTACTGTCTGTTTCCTGGCAACCCCACACTGACCAAAAGAAGAAATTGCACTCTAAAGAAAACTGCCTTTTCTAAAGAACAAAATTATTTTCATGTTCCACATAAAAACACAAATTACTTGCATTTGTTAACCCAACCGCAAGGTAAAAGAAGCAACACTAACGTGTCTAATTTTTTATCTTCACTATGCTCTCATACTTATGCTTGCATTACATTCAAAGAGGAGTATTTTCCCCCAAATAAAAGTAAGAAATAGAAAAGGTCCATAAAGGAGAAATATGGAGGAAAAGGGACAGATGTAAATTTTTTCCGTGCTCTCACATGAAAAACGATGCTCGATGTTGTTTGTAGGCTTTTGCTTGTCCAGTTATATGCATTTTCTCAACTTTAATATATCTAATTATGAATGGTATGTAGAACTTTACAGCAAGCAATTTCTAGAGAAAGTTTTCTTGGGAAAAGTTGGTTCTCTGGGAAGTAGACCCTGAAATGGAAATTTGTGTGCAGGGGGCTAACAAGAGGGTGGTCTTGGAACCAACACCTGTAAGAGAGTGATGTGGTTGCAACAGAAGCTTTTGTGAATCCCACCAGGGGTCCTAGGACTGGGAAGGATCTTTGGAGATAATGGCCCAAATTAAGGAAAAGGGGCTGAGTGTTGAAACTCCTATATGAGCAAGCTGCATTTCTGGAGCAAAAGGCAGTTTCTTCTGGGATTCAGGAGTTAGTCATCATTAGTCCACAATTCCAGCAGCCAAGTGGAATATCTCAGTCCTGAAGGGGCAATCTGGGAGCAGCCAAATCATACAAAGTATCATGCGCTCATTCAGGCACAGATATTTTTTAGTAGTCTACAATGTGCTGAATATTGTGTTTCGGATTAGGGGTACCAGAATGAGTAATGCAGCCCTCTCTCTCTGGTCCTTCCTCTCACAGAGATTATTCCAGCAGGGAAGACAGACAGCCATGGACTTTATCTGTTGAATGACATGCATGACGACACAAGGCAATATTATAGGAGCTCATAGCTTGAATAGACCATGAGTCTAGTTTGCCCATTAAGTCTTCCCAGAGGAAATAGCATTTAAACTAACACTTTAATGGTGTTTGGTGAGGAGTTACCCGGGTGAGGAGGTAGAGAGACAGCTGGATCCAAGATTTCAGAGACCTGGAGAAGTGATGGAGATCACTTTAGTGTCACGCTGAGACACTAAAACATCCTCAGCGTGACCGAGCTCAGTGGTGTGAGTGTGTACGTACATGGGTGCACATAGAGTGGAAGTGAGGGATAAGTCTACAGAGGAAAGCAGAGGCTAAGTCTTGAATGGCCATGGGAGCATATGAGGAGGAGTTCAGATTTATTTTCTGCTTCCACTGCTATTATCCCGGTCTCTTTCATTGTACTTTTTTCCCCATCTCTTGTTCAATCCTTTTGCCTTTCCTTAGTTTGAAAGGAGTGATGAACACCATCAAAGCCCAGGGGTCAGGCATAATGGTTCATACCATATCTGGTAGATAGTAAGAAATGCATGCTATCTGCTGAGATGAACTGATTCAAAGTTAGTAACCTAAATATATGTGAGGATCTACAGTAAAAGAAGCAAAGTGGAGCTACCAGAGTCCCCAAGAAGGAATTTCAATCTTGACCTATACCCTCCAGATAATGTTAAGGGAGATTCAACTCATAACCCAGAGCAAAAATTATCAAGGGACACCTCCTTTTATCCTCAACCATCTCAAACTTTTCAGCTACCCCAGATCCTAAATACCTCAATTTCTTAACCCCTCCCAACTTCAAGGGGCTAGATTTGGAGGCTGTGCTTGGGCCACTTTCTACCAGTTCTCCTGCTTTTGCATCAGAGATCTGGTGTCCATGCAGGTAAAGTTTCAAGAGAAGATAGGGGATTATGTAATTTATGCTGGGGAAAGGTGGGGACACTCAACATTGACACAAATTAAATCTCTCTCATTGTACATATTAAATGGACCACTTCCTGTCTCTCCGATTCCCAGCGTTCCCTGAGCTCCCCAGCCCCCAGTCCCTTGAGCAATCACACTCAAACCCAACTGCCAAGAACTCTCTGGGCTTGAACAAGAGCAGCTGGTTCCCTTATCTACAGGTGTTGTCTTTCTGTTCTTTTTTGAGACTTCTCTTCAGTGTTGAGACTTACTTACTATATTCTATAAGAACTGGTCAGAGGTCTCTAACTGCTTTCATTTATCCAACCCAAGAAAAAAACTAATGATCTTCAAAGGTGTTTTTTTTAAAAAGTCAGATATCATCTTCAAAAAAGTCATTCTTTCCCAGAGCACACATTAATACTGACAATTTCATCCCTGGTTTCAGCATGAGACTTTCGAGATGTGTGAAGCATTACTAGGGAAAGGAGATGCTTAATGCATAGTCCCTCACATCTACCATCAGTTCTCATTTTTTCAGAGTTTGGCACTCCCTTTCTGCTTTTAAGGACTCAAAGCATTTACAATACATTATGGGTTACAGTCTCTTTATCTCCTGGAATAATTCTAACTGATCTGAAATCATAATCCATAGGTATATTATCTCCTTTGATTTTTAAAAAGATTTTATTTATTTTTAGAGAGAGGAGAAGGGAGGGATAAAGAGAGAGAGAAACATCAATGTGTGGTTGCCTCTCTCATGCCCCCTACTGAGGACCTGGCCCACAACCCAGGCATGTGCCCTGACTGGGATCAAACTGGTGACCCTTTGGTTCATAAACCAGTGCTCAATCCACTCAGCCACACCAGTTACGGTGTGATTTTTATAAAGGTTGCTTAATATTGAGTGGTACCTTTTTCAGATACCAGCAAAGACAGGACCTGCAAAGTTCGCACAGCCTGGAGAAAATGGCCTTACCTGTGTCAAGGAATGTACTCCATCCACTGGCAGATGAAATCCGATTCCCAGCGTTTTGATGATCACGGAGATACTGAGTAAATTTTCCCTGTGAAATAATTTGAATTCTAAAGTCATGAACTTCAACTACAGCTCTAGATGTATGTGTTTACATAAAAAAAATAAGTGGAATTCCTTTAGAATGTGATAATTGGGCAATGAGACTAATTCCTCATTTTAAAGACTTGATGTATATTAGTTTTTTTGTTCCGATAGAGTTTTATGTGTCAGTGGACATGCTTCAGTCTGTAGTAAATATAAGTTTGGATATTGAAGAGCCATCTTGTCATTGGAATATTTTAAGCTAGGTTTTAAGTACTTAATTTTAAACAACTTACTCTTTAAACAAAATTGTGATAAAACTCAGTCACATCAAGAGTAATTTTTTTACTTCAAATACTAATGACAATGATTGTTACAGAAATGTACCTCTTTAAAACCTTGTGAATAATTTGCAGGTGATTGGAATTAAGCCACTGAACACCACCAACAACCAAAATAGTCTGGCCTGAATTCTCCAGGGGACGTGATCTGAAATCCAGAAAGAAAAACAACACATGCTGCCTTGAAACAGATGGTAAACATTTTAACGACATTGCCTCACATTTTATTGAACCATATCTGGCATCCTGATTACAGGACCTCCTTGCCATTTCCCACTCATTTTCAGCCATATTACTTGGGCTTTAAGCTTTTCAGCACATTTGATATATGGTGAGCAATTATGACTGCTCGTAAAACATCAGTGCATTGTGCTGTTCATAATAGTTCCATTGTACCTTTGCAAGAGATACTCAAGTGCTTTTTCAAATGTTGGTCTCAATGAAGGGCTTATCCAGAACTGAGGGTAGTAGGAATAACTGATCGAAGTCTTCCCATCATTGACATTGTGATAGAATTTAGTGCCATGCACCTTCTGCCATTCCTGCAAGGTTTCATTCAGTCTTTCAATCAGATAGTACATTATTCCTCTGTTGGTTGAATCTCCAATGAAAAGAATCTACAAATTAAAGAAAAAAACATTTGCTTTCAAGTCTCACATTTACATGGTATAGCAGATAATATAAAATGATCTGTTGAATGTTCATAAACCCACAAGACTAAGTACTTGAACAGCTCTTCGAACTGTTAGAAGTGGTATTTATTATATTTTCCCCAAACCTGTCTTTCATATTCCTAGAAATCTTATCATCTACTGACATACCAACTTATATTTAAAGCTTTTTGCTTCATGTCATCTTCAATTTTTCTATCTCCCTTATGCTCTTTAATTTCTCATCTAATCAACTTAAGTTTAACTGATTCAAATAGGCATGAAGTATTTTTGTGCTATAGGAATACTTAGAGATTTTCCTATTTCTTTTCATTGTATAGATAAGAAAATTGGAATCCACAGTAGTTACATAGCTCAGTAGAGGTCATGTCATCACTTGAGAAAAGAGCCAGAGGACTAAGATCTGGTTTTCTGAACAGCTGTGTATGTCCCAGGGTACATATCCTAGTGCCATGTACCCTGAAAGTCTCTCATACCTACCCCCCAAACTTTCCACTCCCTGCCTCCCAGCACAACCCTTCAGGCCTCAGAGCTGTGCTATTTATTGTTAATACTGCTCTGCTAATAGGTCTTCCTTCTTGCACAATGTCTGCCCTCTATTTCATTCTACACTCAGCATTACTGGGATAGCAGTATAACTGGGATACATTTCCAAATGTGTAGCTCTGGTCATCATACTTTTATGCTTAAAAATCTTACTGGCTCCTGTTTCCTATAGAATCAAATCTAACTTCCTTAGGTTCAGGTAACATTTGCTGAATTTGTATTGCATATCAGGCTTTTCTAGGTGGAGATATCATACAGGCTACTCATTTTTAATATTCACAGTTATGAGGTTTGAGTCATTATTTTTCTTTCACAAATGAGCAATTTGAGGCTCAGGAGACTGAAGATATAAATATACTAAATAAGGAATACAAGACTCAAACTCAAGTCCTTTAATTTCAAGTGCAGGGTCAATGACCTCATTTTCTCAGTTTCCACTCAGAGTCCCACTTTTTCACTGAGCATGATTTGCACTCAACAGCATCTGTTTTTCTTGTGCCAATCCACCTGCCTAGAAAGTGTCTCCTCTTGCAATTCCCCCAGAATACAGGCCACACAGCTTCCAGACATGGATGTCCAGCACCCTAGACAGAATGACCTTCACTGTCCTCTGATTTCATCACAATTTTTATTTTCCTATCAGATTTTATTTGAGAAGTATTCAAGATCACAGTCAGGGTTAATGTCTAAATTCTAATTTCCCCTATAGTACAATGCATAAACTTTAAAAATCTTTATTGAATTGAAAGTCAAAGAGACTTTTGTTAGAAACAATTCCTTTTAATGTCTTTGAAACATTTACTTTGTTCTTCAGATTTTTCTCTCTTTGTTGATATTTCTGTTTCCATTGGTCATACATGTACTTCTGGTTTTAACAGCAGTCATTTGCCATAATTCTCAGGCATTGCTGCATTTGCCTGTCCATGGCAAATCTAGTGAGAAACTGCAAAGGTTTACTCTTTCATGGTAACTATATTTCAGTAGTTGTGTGCAAAAATCCAGGAAGCACCTGCAATTTGCCTTCAGATCATATATGGATGTCATGAGCATCATCAAGGTCAACTGAACAACATGAGGTATCAAGGCCTCAATCACTGATCCTCTCAGGTGACTTCCATTTGGGGCAATAAAATCCTGCATAAAAAATAATTTGTAAAATCACATGAGATTCTTCTAACTGGATTTGACCTATAACTATTTCTGTTCATTTTTCTGGCTGACATTTCTGAATTTTAAAAGGGAACTTTGAATAATCAGGGAAACTCTTAATTTCAGTTACTAGTAAGTATTGAACACCTTTTGTATTAGTCTGCTGGGCTGCCATAAAAATGTACCACAGATTGGGTGGCTTAAACAGAAATTTTTTTCTAATGATTCTGGAAGCTAGAAATCAAAGGCAAGACATTTGCATGATTGGTTTCTTCTGAGGTCCTCTCTCCTTGGTATATAGAAGGTCATCTTCCTGTGTCTTCACTTGGTGTTTGTTCTGTGCAGGTCTGTGTCTTATCTCACAGGCATGAGAGATACCTTCTTGTCTCATAGGGACAGAGACAATCTTCTTGTCTCATAAGGACACCAACCATATTGGATTAGGGCTAATCCATACAACCTTATTTTACCCTAATTACCTTTCTAAGGGCCCCCTCTACAAATAAAGTCACAATATAAGGTACTGGGCATTTGGGTTTCAGCATATGAATTTGGTTGGGAAGGAATATAATTCAGCTCATAATACACATAATGGGCCATTGAGAACCAGCTTTTAAACTAAATTGGCATCGGGGGTTTTCCTCACAGGTCCTTTTAATTTTAGTATCAAGATGCAATCTCTCCCAGGGCATCTCCAGGTAGCCAGTAAGATCACTACGTGTCTGTATTGTGGGCTACAGAGATACAGAGGTTTTAAAAAAATCAAAGTAGCTCCATGGTACTGAGAGAGAAAAAAATCTAGATTTCTAATTTTTTTAGTGGGCTATCTGAAGATGCATCCACTAGAGCATTTCAGTGGTAAAAGAGTCCTGTTTCAGAATTCTAGGTACTGTTGTTTGTTAACTGGATCATCTGAGGCAAATTATGTGACCTCTGCAAGAGTTCACTCTCTTATGTGTAACATGGGAATAATAATAGCACCACCTTAGAGGACTCCGGTGAGGTTTGAAATGTTTATCATATTCCTGGCACACAGTAAGCACACCATGAACATGAACTAGCATGAGGACATAGGAAAGGCAAGCAGTGTTTTTGAGTGCTGCCAGTGTGCCTTCCAGTGCACTGCTGGGCACTGCAAATTCATTAGCTCATTTAAGGGACACGTCAGAGTAGGCAAAGAATGTCTAAACCACAGCAGTCTCTTTCTTGCCCTACCAACCCTGCTACAGTCCCCCAGCAGGACTTGTAGGGTTAATGGAGAAACTGATGCTCTGGAAGAGATATCGTCACCCCGAGCAAACCAACACTCAGAATAGTCTGTCAAGTCTCCATTGCTGATTGGTGAATAACAAGAGCTACATGCATGGAGAAGTGTCACCATCGTCCTTTGCAAAACAAGTTTTTCTACACTGCAGATACCTAGATAGTATTTTCCAAGTCTAGTACACACAACTCTTGGAAGACAGCTTTCTAGAGAATTATTTGATCCAAGTGCCATTCTATCCATGAAAGGTGGAAATGATAAAATATAGCTAAAATGAAAATGTAGTTGTGATTGTTTTCATACTTATTTGAAGGCATTTTTTTCCATTGGTTTAGAGAAAGAGGAAGGAAGAGAGCAAAGGATAGAGAGAAACATAGACTGGTTGCCTCTCCAGTGCACCTAGACTGGGGATTGTATGCACCCCAAATGAGGATTGAAGCCTAACCCTAGGTATGTGCTCTGATGGGGTAATCGAAACCTGCAACCCTTCAGCTGGTACAGGACGATTCTCCAACCAACTGAGCTACATCGGCCAAGGCTGGGTTATGAATTTAATGTGCCTTGTTTTGTAGGTAACACAGTTTTTGTAAGAGGTCAGTTGGCATTCTGAACTAAATAGTGTCTAACTACAAAATGTCAGCTCTTTTAAGTGCATGCACACAATTAAAAAATATCAGGAATTAGAGAGGCTCTTTTCAGTCACATGATTCATATTCAATCTTTATATCTTTTAGATCATTCAATTTGATGAATTATTTAAAAGGAAATTTGTAGGCCAACTTCTATTTTAAAATGTCTTACTTTTCATAACAAATATTTGTAACTATCCATACAATTTTTAAATAACTCTCCTTTCTGGTGAAAATTATTACCTTACGTTAACATGCACAGGTGTTGGTTAGCATATGCAATCAAAGAAAGAATATGGGATCATGAAATACAGATAATCAGCAAGCAATTATGAAAGTAATCTGTTTGCAATAAAACATTAAAATAACTAGTTTCCCCCACTAAAATAGCCATAATTTTACAAGCCCCTGTGATATTATTAGTTCAGGGAAATGAATCCTCTCATACACTACTGTGTGAGCTGCAGGAGGGAGAGTTTTGTTTGTCTTTTGTTTGTTTAAATTATTGAATCCCGTGTCCAGAATAAGGCCTGGCATAAAATGGTGCTTCTCAATTTGTCAAATAAATGAATAAAAACTTTACTGTTGTGTATATAAATTGGCAGTTTTTAGGAAATTTTAATTCAGTAAAACAATGAAGAAAGTCTATTAAAATATATTTTAGAAGAAAAATAAATCAGTTCGGGGTTGTGTGGCTGAGTTGGTTGGGCATTGTCCCATAAGCCTAAAAGGTCACAGTCCAATTCTGGTCAGGACTTGTGCCTGGGTTGGGGTGCCCTCCCTGCTGGGGAGTGTAAGAGAAGCAACTGGCCAATCTTTCTCACACAGCAAAGATTCTCTCCCTCTCTCTCGCCCTCCCTTCCTCTCTAAGTATGTCCTCAGGTGAGGATTAAAAAAAAGGAAAGAAGAAAAGAAAATCAAAATAGCAGCAATGTTTAGTAGATTGATTATATTAACATATAATTATACACTTGAATTCTTTTTATCTGTTAACAGTGATATTATAACAGGGATATATTGTGATGGGGAAGATTTCACAGTAGCTTTTTATCAAAAGCTGATTACAGTCAGAATAAAACTAATGATTGCATTTTTTAAAAGTAAAGTATGGGGGTGTATAGAAAAGTAGGTCCTGGAAATTTAGTTGTGATTAAAGTGGTGATATCATAACAGTTTTTTCTTTAAAATTTTTTGAAAGGTTTTATTTTGATGTTTTTACAAATTCAATTTTTAACATCTTTCTATTTAAACATTTTCTTATAAATATAAAGAATAGATTTTTAAAGCAAACCCCATAAAGATACCTGCCCACCCACCCAAGCCAACCTCTGGTACACCCAACTGTGCCATGTAAATGTAATCATCTTTTATACCTGGACCATGAGAGGAAGTGTGAAAGGACTGCCCTACCAACAATGATTTCACATCCCCTTTTCCTTTCTGCAGCACTCGCTTTCACCTTAGAAAACAAGAGTACCAAGCACATTTTGCCGTAGGTTTTGCCAAGGGAGGAATAACATGGTCTGGTCTTGGCAATTGAGGTGTGAGAAGATTTCTGGGGACTTGAAGGAAAGGTTTGCCTTCCTAAGAAAGACTGATCGACCTTAGTCAATGTCCATCTTCTTCATCAGATGTGAGATCTAATTCCTTGGGACACTGGAGCTGCTGCATGCAGCTCAGTGTGCCCGTGAGGCTAAATACTGCTGATACAGTGAGTGTAGTAGAACAGAAAGATGGAAGGCACAGAGGCTCTGAACAACTGAGTAACAACTAGCCTGGGACATCTCTACCTCTGGTTATGCTGCAAAACAAATGTCCTTACTATTTTAGCTCATCCTATTTCAGTCTTCTGTTACTTGCAACCAAGATACTAATAAAGCTGCAGTGGTTTTTAAAGCATGGTCCCATAATTATTTGACACTTTTGCCATTGAAAGGTAGGTTCTACATCCCCTCTCCTTGAACCCCAGTGGGCTGTGACTGCTTCACTGATCAGAACCTGCTACAGGTGATGCTGTGTGACTTCTGAGCCTAAAGGCAGTGTAGCTCCTGCCTTACTCGAAGGCATGCTGACGCTTGGAGTTTGAACTGCTATATAAGATACCTGACAATCATGATGTTTAGAAGATGACAGTTTATTCTTTTTGTTCATTTGTATTTTCTAAAATGAACATATATTGACCTTTATGTTAATAATAAAAAGTAGCAACAGCAGCATCAATAATAATAAATCTGTTTTGCTGAAAAAGTATTTTGAAAACTCATATAAAAATTTAATATTAGCCCTGGCTGGTGTAACTCAGTGGATTGAATACCAACCTGCAAACCAAAGGGTGGCTGGTTTAATTCCCAGTCAGGACAAATGCTTGGGTAGTAGGGGGCGTGAGAGAGGCAACCACACATTGATGTTTCTCTCCCTCTCTTTCTCCCTCCTTTCCTCTCTCTCTAAAAAATAAATAAATACAATCTTAAAAAATTAGTACTAATGAACTTGAATAAACTTTATTTCTACTTATGTAGAAGATGGCTGAAAAGAGTTGGCATCAAGCCTTGGTTCAATAAACTGATCACAGGAATAATGTTAATCATATTCAGGATTCCAAGAGCAACTTTATTCCAAAGACTGAATTGCATTTTTCTGTGTAGCACCTCTTTTTTGGTTCTGCAGTGCAGTGAAGGGAGCCTGTCTCCCTCAGGGTGGGCTCTGGAGTGGAGCAGAAACACCTGTGCTAGGGTGTGTCATGAAAGCCTGGATCTCAACTCATCCGCTGGAGACAGGCTGTGTTTAGGAAAGGTTTGTATCTGTTTCATTCCTGAAACTCATCATGCAGTGTGTATCAAAAAGTATATAAAGGCAGGTAGTTTCTCTGCCTTTTTCACACACCTTCATGGACCACAGGACCTAGAAGCACATTGTGTTCCTACGATCTAGTAAAGCTTGAAGCTTATTTTCAAATAGTCTTATCTAAAAACATAAAATTCTTTAATTATCTTTATTTTCATTTCTAAGTTAAAGTTCTTATACTTCGATGGGCTATATTAAGTGTTATAACAAATTGAACCCCTAAAAGTACAATGGCTTAAACAAAATTCAGGTTTATTTTTCCCTAGGAAAACAGTCCAGGTGTCCTAGGCAGGTGCATGTGTGGGGTGGGGGCAGGGAGTTCATTCAGCGCCTGAGGATGATTGGACTGCATCTTCTTTGATTATGGTTTCCAAGAACTCTGTGGGCATTGATACCCGATTGGGGAAAGGAGTAAAGAGCTGCCCGGTTTTCCACGGGCCCTGCCTGGGAGTGGGGCACGTCACTGCTGCTCCCCACCATTTGTTAGAACTCAGTCGTACAGCCTCACAACAAATTCCATGGGAGGCTGAGACATGCAGTCAAGCTACGTTCCAGGAAGAAGAGAAAATGAGTTTGATGAATCCTTAGCTAGTCTTTACCGCATTCTCCTACATACTAAGTTTTCCTGAAGAAAAACTAAACTCTAAAATCAGACTTTCCACCTGTAAATTAGCAGAAGTGTGAAGTATATAAAAGGCCAATTTATAATCCACATGATGCATAAAAGAACTTCTATTTGTAGAGAAAAAGGGGTCCTGGGATAAGTAATAGCAAGAAGTATCATTTATTACTGAAAATATAACCAAGATTTAGGGGCCTTTTAATGTAAATATAGCCCTGGCTGGTGTAGCTCAGTGGATTGCGCACAGGCCTGTGAACCAGACAATCGCGGTTCGATTCCCAGTCAAGGCACATACTGGGGTTGCAGGCCAGTTCCCTGCAGGCCAGTTCCCAGCAGGGGATGCATGAAAGGCAACCATACATTGATGTTTCTCTCCCTCTCTCCTTCCCTTCCCCTCTAAAGATAAATAAATAAAATCTTTAAAATATGTAAATATAAAATAAAGTTTTTATTCTATTTTATTTCATCATGAATGAACAAATGATGATATAAAACAATGATGATACAAATATTTCATTCCACTACCTGCTTTTTTCCAGAATCACCAGAAGTAACTTAGCAAATTAAATTATAAAGAAATGAAAAGAAAATTATTGGTGGCTGTCTGGGTTGAGTCAATAAAGGTAGTAAATTGTCTGAAGCTTGTTAGCATAGATTCTTTTGATCTGTTGAGGCTGGGAAAGAATTGAGTATATGTAGAATCAATAGAGAGGAGGGAAAAAACCATCAAAAAATCTTTTTCTTCTTCCTCCATTTTCTCCTGCACAGATTCTATCTTCAACATTCACAGAAGTGGGGATATTTTTTGGATCCCATAAAGTGCACTACATACCAACAGGGATCAGCCCTGGAATTCACTGGAAACTTCCAGGAGGGAAAGTTACATAGGACTGCAATAGGAGCTACTTTTCCATTAATCTGGGCAGTACCTACTTATTGGAGAGCTCTCACAACTTAAAATGAAGGGAATGAAAGTGAGGTGAATAGGCGTTTAATTCACTAACTGTAATCCGGGGCCAAATACAGTCCATATATTTAGAAAGCTCACAGTGATTGATTCTGACAGGCCCATGATTGAACAGCATTTTTCTTATAAAAAACATACCCATTTCTAACTGAGGAAAGAGGTGATTTAGCTCTATACGAATCTGAAACTGATTAGATGGCTAAGTTTATTTAGGGCATGATGAAAATCTAGCTTACGCCGTGGAATGTAATATGATTACAAGGCATGTTTTCTAATGATGCATTTTGGTTAAATTGGTTATAGATGACCAACCAAATTGTTCTTTGGGATCAAGAACAAATGTAAATTGACATTTAGGCAAATCACTTTCAAACATGAAATCTGGCAAAAAAACAAAGTGAAAACAAACAACTAAACAAGATCACCTAGACATCTAGCTGCTCGGAACAGATTTACTCATCTCCATTGCCATTCCATTTGGATTGTGGACATTGAATACAGGTCATCTTTCACTGGTGAGAGAGACAGGCCCTCCTTTCCTTCTTCTTTTTATTGAAATTGACAAGCAACAATGATTTATTTTTGTGACTATAATGGAACTTACGTATTAGTCAGAACATATTACTGTAAATTAACCCCACTTCAAATATTTAAACACCTTTAAGTCCAAGACACTACTTAACTTGCAAACATTACTTTAAAATTCAACCTACATTTCCTGTTTTAACAGCTGAATTTAAGTACTTTTAGCAAATACTGCCTTTTTCTATTTCCTTTTCTTACCTGTATTCTTCTCCCAGATAATTAATGGCTTGAATTCTGAACTATGTTTTCAGCTGACATACAAAATAAGGGCTTTTTAACTTCAGTTTGTTAAGGCTCCTGAGTTTTTTCAGTTGCAAATGTCACGATCATATTTGTAAATTATTTCCTATATATTTTACACTGTGATTACAGAGTTATGCTCTGATAAATTTTTGTAAATGTTCCATTCAGAGTTTATTAAGTAAAAGGTTTATATCTATGTAGAGAGAGATGTGTGAGAGTATAATTGAAAACATAGCTTGTATTTTGCAATTGATTTTGCTTTGATTCAACATGATTATACATCACAAAACCTATTCATATATGCAAAAACCTAAAAATAAAATAACTCATATTTGGATAAATGTAGAGTTTAAAAGGAGCCTCACATTGACCCGCTCTCCTTACGCAAACAAGTATGCCATAGAAACAGGATATGAACGTGTCCAGGAGAAACTGTTCCTTCTTCCTTCCAAAGACCAATCCCCTGCTCACCTTGTTGAAGTGAAGGCAAGCAGCCAAAGTACAGAAAGTACGGTCCTGCTCAAGTACCACTGGGGTTCCTGGTCAAAGTTACCAGAAACTTGAACGTTTTTTAAAAATCTCAGCTGATATGTGTCTTGCTCTTTTCCCATAGGTTGGGCATTGATAGGTTAGCCAAAAAGTTTGTTTGTTTTTCTGTAAGGTGTCTCTAGCAGTGCTCAATTGTCTTTAACTTCATTAGAAACAATTTGGTTAGGTGGTATTGTGACAGCTGTCATATCAGTGTGCATTTTTTAAAAATATGAAAATTGATGAATTTTTACATACCATTTTAATATTGAAGATGGAAGCAAATGTACAACATTTTTGGCATATTATGCTTTGTTATTTCAAGAATGGTAAAAATGCAACTTAAATGCAAAAAAATTTGTGCAGTGTATGGAGAAGGTGCTGTGACTGATCAAACATGTTGAAAGTAGTTTGCAAATTTTTATACTGGAGAGTTCTCGCTGGATGATGCTCCACAGTCAAGTGGACCGATTAAAGCTGATAGTGATCAAATTGAAACATTAATTGAGCATAATACACATTATACCATGTGGGAGATAACTGATATACTCAAAATACCCAAATCAATAAACTTACTGGTAAAAATGAAAAATGTGTCTTTTTATTTTACAGAAAAAAAACCATATAGACTTTTCCGTCCACCCAATATTTCCAAGTATATTCTTGCATTCATAAATGTGAAACAATAGTAAAAAGTTACAAAAGGTCAAAATAAGAACATAAGGAAATTCAATAGAAAAAATGACTGCTTGGAAATTCTAAAAAAAGCATAAGACTATCTGAATTTTCAAGTAGTCATTTCTAATAATTCTCTCCTTCCCAGTCAAATCCTGTTGCTTTTTAATCTGATTCTTTGGAGACAGATAACTCAGTTCAACATACCCCCCAAAGCTGAAGTTTGCCTTGGTTAGAATATAAAATAAAGTTCTGTGTTTTGTTTTTTGTAGCATAATATATTCATACTACGTATTCCTGGTAACAGTGAAACCTTTGGATTCTCGTTGTAAAAATCTCAGATTCACATATTGATTGAAAGTCTTCATGTTAGGCTAATGCACCATTAGAATATGCATGTTTAGGTATGTCCCCACTTTTACATAATCCAAAAGCATAAATTGGAGTTTATTAAAAAATGAGAAACTCGGAATCATCTCTGGTAAACTCCTCACCTGCTTGATTCCTGACCACCCTCTATTCCCTCTACCCTCTCTTCCCTCCAATAAGAGGGCAACCCAAGAAAGCAGTAGGGCCCCTGGCTGGTATGATTCCATGGACTGAGTGTCAGCCTGTGAACCAAAGGGTCACCAGTTCAATTCCCTGTCAGGGCACATGCCCAGATTGCAGGCCAGGTCCCCAGCGGGGGGCACACAAGAAGTAACCACACATTGATGCTTCTCTCCCTTTCTTTCTCCCTCTCTTCCCCTCTCTCTAAAATACAAAAAAAAAGGAATAATGTTCCTCAAAAAGAAAGAAAGAAAGCACTAGGCTTGAGTGATAGCTGTCACCGCAGATTCTTTGGGGGAAAAATAAAGATTCCAACTTTTTTTAGTTTAATTAAACTATTTCAAAATAATGTGATTGGTAGATTGTAACTATCACTTTCAGCATCTTTTCCAGAACCTGTGAGCCTGGGTCAGGCACCAGCCTCTGTGCTGCTCCCTTGTCTGCAATCACCAGACTGCAGTAATGATCACACTTCTCTCATTTGTCCTCTCTTAGAAACTCAGCACCTTGAAGGAATACGATGTATGCACTTAGAACACACGTTTTGCTCCACAGAAGTTCAATGAATGAGCAACATGACATCACGGAACATATAAAATTATTCTGAACTTAATAAGTGATCATCTGGATTCTCCTCTGTGGTAATACGTTAGGGACAACTGATATCACATGGTTTCTGACATAGCGCAGTAGAGTTGCTCTAATGGATTCGCTAAAATAGACAAAAAACTGTACTTGAAAAATAACTAAATAAAATTAAAAAAAAAAAAAAGAAATCATTTCATCTGGTGGGATAAGAACTGTAGCAATATGAGGATGTTACTACTACTCCTGGCCTTGCCATCCTCACATGACTTTCTGTAGAATGTTGCTTAAAGATTATGTTTCTTTTCTGGAATGTTTGACATAGTTGAAAGAGTCCCCTGTCCCCACCGAATCAGTATATAATATGCTTAAATCTAAAATATTTGTTTCTTGTTTTTCTATTTTTGTAATTGTTATGCTTTAATATTCATTTGTCTTTGAAATAGAATGACGTTTTAGAAAATTCTGAGTAGGATGAAAACTTAGTTGTCCCAGTGCTGAAAGATAAGAGTTTCAGGATCATTTTGCATATTTATATTATTCTCATGGAAAGTGAAATATAGAGGTGCGGGAAAACCTTTTGCTAACCTACTCCTAATCATTAATGGAGGTTTTTAAAGAGTAAGTACCTCATAGGTATGAGTACTACCTATGAGTACCTCATAGGTAAATGTTTACACAATTATCTGTCTGTGGGGTGTATGAGCATATGTACCCACCTGTATATTACAAGGCCTTGTTATTTCAAATATAAATGATCTTTCTCAGGCTCTTCTGCCTTTGCACTCCCACTGCTCTGCCCTAGTTTGGAGTATACAATATTTTAAAACATAGATTTTTAGATTTACAAATGTTCCCACAGTGTAAAATGGAAATAATGTGGATGGTTAAACAGATCTCTTCACCTTTACCAGCCCTACTTTACTGTAGATCTGGCTCCATGGCCATCTGCAGCCTGGGCAGTTTCATGGGTCTTGTGCTTGGTTCATCGTGCTGCTGTTGACTTCTTGAAATTCTTAATAATTTGGAATGCGGAGTCCTGCGTTTTCGTTTTGCACTGAGCCTCGAAAAATGTGTAGCCGGTCCTGTCACCACCTCACCCCTCTTCCACCCCTTTCCACTTATGTAATCACTCAGAACTGTTTGCTACTTCCAGAAATATTCTGTGTGTGTGAGCGTGTGTGCATTAGTTTTTCCACCGATGGGGTTATTCTATACATACTCTATACTTTTTTTGCATCCTCAGTGTTACATGACTGAATTTTTCCATTAAACAGCCTCCACCCCCCAGCACCCATTTTCTCCTTCCCCCAGGCAGTCTCCATTCTCCTGCAGGATGAGCTTTATGATTCTGGTGTTGCAGCTCTTCTGCTTAAAACATGCAATGCCTTCCTGTTCTGCAGAGAATAAATTAGCATCCTGGTAAACAAAACAGTCGCTGTAGGATCACAGCCATCCTGCTGGCAAGTTTAAGTTTCTGAGTGTGCAGGACTCAGGGACAGCTCTGTACCAGGAAGATCACAAAGAAAAGTCCTCTCTGCTGAGAAGTCAGCTAGCCAGCCTCTTCCAGGATCACCTGATTGCCTTTATTTTTTGACTCTGTCTAGCAAGTAGGAAAAAGTGTTCTTCCCTTTATCTTACCATTACTTTGAAGAGATGCTAATAATTAGCCTGAAATTAGCAAAGACAATATTAGGGGCTTCATGTTTGTGTCCCCCCAAAATGCATATGCTGTAACCCTAATTGCTGTGTGATGGTGTTTGGAGGTGTAGGCGTAGATGAGGTTGCAAGTGTGGAGGCTAATTCTCACAGGAAGAGGAGGCTGAAGCTCTCCATCTCTGCCTTGTTGAGGACACAGGAAAAAGCACCCAGATCTTGGACTTCTCAGCCTTCACATTTCCAGAAATGTGAAAAATAAATATCTCTTTAAGCTACCAAGTCTATGGTATCTTCAGATAGACAGGAAAGAAGGCTTTTAGCTTCCTACAAGGTTGATTAATCTACAGTATAGGATTAGACCATGTAGACTTATTATCTTACAGATGAAGAAAATGAGTCTGAGAAAGAAATAAATGTATGTCATGTCTAAAGCCAGGGAATTCAGTGATGGACTTAAATTAACATCTACTGCCTTTTGGGTTAACACATGTGACAGCTTGGAATTTTCCTGAACCCTGTAAATTCTGAGGTTGGAATGGTATTCTGAAGGGTTTAGAGAAGTCTGATTATTATGGCAACAACTGTTTTCATTGCTTCCAGTCCTGCATTTCTAAGCTACAAAGGTTGGATTGTCCAAGTTGGTGGTTAAAAATGCCTGCGCAGTAGCCACTTACAGACATGTGTGATCACGGATGAATTACTCCATCTTTCTGAGCTTCAATTTTCTTAGGTGGAAAACAACAGATATAACACCTACCTCACAGAACTATGATTAGAAATAAAAACACATTAACTTATGTGTTTACTCAAATATTTATTAAGCAACTATTAGGTATCAAAAATTATGCTAATAGTGAGATTATGGCAATGATTCACACACATATTTCCTGCCCTCATGAAACTAAAAGTCTGGTTGGATGTAAGGTGTAAGAAGGCAGCAAAGTTTCTGTACAGAGCCAATGCTTAGTTAATAATAATATTAACTGGCAGTTAGTAATAACATTAACTGACAGTTAATAAATTTCTAAATGCTTTTCTTTCCTTCCTTTTTAAAAAGTAACTAATACTGCTACCTTATTTTTAGAGATAGTCTCAGCCACAAAAATAGGGGTATTCACATTGCAATCACCTTGAATAAGACATCCTACCTGTGCCCCACCCTTCACCCCATCATTCTTCTGAAATTCTTTGCTAGGAGAAAATATGAGCAGCAGCATACTCTAAAAAACTAGCATGCGTTCAGTCCAGTGTCCCTTTTTTATGCATTTAATAGAGCTTTTTAAAAATAAATCAGTTTTTGAATTCAATCTTGCCTGTGTATGAGCGCTTACAAACAATTTTTAAGGAACTTCCCATTGAATAAAAAGTGCTTTGAAAATCTGGGTAAGGCTTACTTACTTCATGGTAACCAAGCACGTCAGTCTATGTGCACGGTTTGCACGTCCGAGAGCTCTGCTGGAATCTACCTAGTCAGAGTGCGCCTAGCAAGAAGACACTGAATGTCCAGGAAATCAGCTTAGAGCCACGCTAAAGGAAAAGCATCCTAAGGAGGTCCATGCGAGACCTGCTTGGGAATGTGAAAGAAATCAGGAAGGTTAGTGTGTCAAGACAGCACCATGCACTCTCTCAGCTCCAGCAAAAGTGAGTCTTACATGCAGGAACATTTCGCAGCTCAGGCAAGCTGCAGATGTCTGTTTTGACTGCTGTGCCTTGCTAGAGCTACACTTGACAAGGCCAGGTGCTCATAACTGCCAACTGTCAGTGGACATGGCAGGCTCTTAGCCATTTGTGCAGAGAAAACCAGCATAGAATTGGATCAGCACAGGACATGACTTTAATATCCTCCATCTGTCAAGGAGACTTATTTGGAAATAACTGAGTGTTTTTTGAGCAAGAATTGTTAAGGCTCTTCTCTGATAACATTTATATTGTTAGTTATCCTCTACAGAGTGAGAGAGAAGGAATAGGTTTAGCAGATATGACTGTGTGGCCTTTGGTGCTGCAGGTGGTGGAAATGAAAGGCTTCCCCCGCTGGATCTGGAACCTACCTTCCTTCCTCCCAGGCACTGCTGCAGCTGAGACTTAGTTAGGACACCATACTGGCAGTTGTGGGGCTGCCAGGTTATTTCTCTCCAGTCACAGGTTCTGTTGTCTGAACAACTAAGGCAAGGCACGATCCATTGGCCTGGAATAGACAGCAAAACCTCCTTTGGTTCAGTTTCTACTGATGAAAGTATAGTTTTCAAGTAACCTTAAAATTCACCTGTGGCACATCATCCCAGAAGTTGCAGTGGGAAGACCATTCTTGCCATACAAATTCAGTGGAATAGTGCATGGCCTCCTTCTAACCAAACAGAATCGTACTGCATGATAATGTTCTGAAATAACAGTTCATGCCAGAATCAGGCATGAGTTGTGTCCCGTGAAACCACTTACTTATAAAAACTTAAGTGTTCAGGTACTACTCAACTAAAAAGTATATTTAAAAATAATTTTAAAAAACAATTATATATTTAAATAGTACATTAGGGCCCTAATAGAACCAAAGTAAGCAGAGAGCCACTAATATTGAGGTATTCAGCCACAAGTATTTACTAGTTTAACTCACATTTATGTTAGCAATCCAATAAGAATATTACTTTAACATTCCGATAATTTATTATTTTAAGGCTAGTTCCCTAATTTGATTGATGGCCTTTTGATGTGAATCTCTTCACCTCCTTCCAGCTCTGTTGCCTTTGTTTCTTCAGCTGTTAGATGAAGTATGCACTGTTCTCACACGGCTGGTGTGAGGATTGAACGGGATAATGTAGTTAATGTCTCGAGCACAGTTACAATACCATACTTGCCTTTGTTGCTAGCAGACTTTGGGCACAAATTAGTTCACAACCTTTAAAAAATGTTTATGAAGTAAATGAATATTCACAATGTAGTAAAGCTCTTTTCTAGTTTATTGATAAAATAATATGCATCCAAAACACTTCAGCTTTCAGTGTGAATAGATACATTATAATTTACTTTTAAAAAACTAGAAATAATTTTTGATTTTTCTTTGTTTATCTTTTCAGAAATGGAATGTGGACTAGCACATTAAACACAAAGTGGTCATTTATCTTCTTTGTGAAGAATACCCTGATATTTACAACAGTAAGCTGCTCTATCCTAAAGGTCTTGCTTATGTTATCACTAAGTGTTTCTCTTTAAAATATTGAGGAACTGAATATTCCCAGCTACTTTTTTTGTCTGTAAACTGAATTTTATTTCATCTAATTTCAAGGGCCAACATCACTTGTTTCAAGACTGATACCCACTTACACTTTTTAAAAATTGTTTATTCTATTACAGTTGTCCCAATTTTTTTCCCCCTTTGTCCCCCCTCCATCCAGCCCACTCGTCTCACCCACAGTCAGTCCGTTCTCATTGTCAGTATACATGAGTCATTGATACGTGTTCTTTGGCTAGTTTAATTTTTTTAATTTTATTTGATTTTATTGATTATTCCATTACAGTTGTTCAATTCCCCCCCTTCATTCCCCTCCACCCTGCATACCCCCTCCCCCACTATTCCCCCCTTTAGTTTATGACCATGTGTCTCAAGTTCTTTAGATTCTATATTTCCCCTACTATTCTTGCCCTCCCCACTGTATATTTGCTACCTACAGTCTATGCTACTTATTTTCTGTACCTTCTCCCCCCTTCTCCTCCTCCCACTCCCCTGTTGCTAACCCTCCATGAGATCTTCATTTCCATGTTTCCGCTCCTGATCCAGCTGTACTCTTCGTTTGCTTTTGTTTTAGGTGTGGTTCTTAATAACTGTGAGTTTGCTGTCCTTTCACTGTTCATATTTTTTATCTTCTTTTTCTTAGATAAGTCCCTTTAACATTTCATATAATAAGGGCCTGGTGATGATGAACTCCTTGAATTTGATCTTATCTGAGAAGCACTTTATCTGTCCTTCCATTCTAAATGAAAGTTTTGCTGGATAGAGTAATCTTGGTTGTAGGTCTTTGGATTTCATGACTTGGAATACCTCTTTCCAGCCCCTTCTTGCCTTTAAGGTCTCTTTTGAGAAATCAGCTGACAGTCTGATGGGAACTCCTTTGTAGGTGACTGTCCCCTTATCTGTTTCTGCTTCTAGGATTCTCTCCTTCATTTTCATCTTGGCTAATGTAATGATGATGTGCCTTAGTGCGTTTCTTCTTGGGTCCAACTTCTTTGGGACTCTCTGAGCTTCCTGGATTTCCTGGAAGTCTATTTCCTTTGCCAAATTGGGGAAATTCTCCTTTGTTATTTGTTCAAATAAGTTTTCCACTGGTGGCTGTTTCTTTCCCCCTTCTGGTACCCCTATAATTCGGATGTTGGAGCATTTAAAGATGTCCTGGAGGTTCCTAAGTCTCTTCTCATTTTTTAAATTCTTGTTTCTTCATATTTTTCTGTTTGGTCATTTTTTCTTCCTTCTGGTCCACTCCCTTGATTTGAGTCCCAGTTTCCTTTCCATCACTATTGGTTTCCTATGCAATTCTCTTCATTTCAATTAGTTTAGCCTTCATATGGTCTTCTAATTTGTGACTAAAATCAACCAGTTCTGTGAGCATCCTGATGACCAGTGTTTTGAACTATGCATCTGAAAGTTTTGCTATTTCTTCATCGCTTAGAGTTATGGGCTCTGGGGCTTTGAGATCTTCTTGGGCCATGTTTTGGTCTGTTTGTACCCAATAAGTATGAGGAGCATAGCCTTAGGTGTTCACCAGGGCAGGGCCGCCCAGGTCGCTGGGTTGTGAAGCTGTATGTGGGGGCGGGGTCAGAGCGGGGCAATAGCGGCCCACTCTGCTGCTTCTAGCTGCTGGGGCCTGCTCGGTCCATCTCACTGCTCACTCCTTCCTAGGTCTATCTGTGGGCAAATGTGTGACCGCAGTCAGCCTGCTGCCCTGTGCCCTTGCTGGGTCCACCCGTCACTCACTGGGTCCGCCCATTGCAACCCCACGCCTGGGATCTGCGCGCCTGAGTCTGTCTGACTGAGTTTTCCTGTGCAATCCCGCTCTGCCAGCTGCTGGCTTCGCCCCCCCTTACCGGTCAGGCTGAAGAATTCGTTGTTATCAGACTTCCAAAAAGTTCAATTTCCTCTGTTCTGGCTGTGTTTTCTGTTGCTAAAACTTTGTTGTCTCTAAACTTGGTTGTGTGAGAAGGCACAGCATCTCCACCTATGCCTCCATATTCGTGGAAGTCCCTGACTAGTTTAATTTTTAAGTGTTATATATCCTGGTTGGTTTTAGGTCAGTGATTCCCTTTAATTTTCAAAAAAAAGAACCCATAGAGTTATGCTCTTTATGTCCCTGAGCTCATTGAGCACAGAGAGAGCTGGACTGGAGTGATTGCATTGAATGGAGATGGGAAGGCTGGTTTCTTAAAATGCCTACTGTGTACGAGGTACCACACTGGACGCTTTACGTATCTGTTTTTTAAAATTTATTTAATTATTGTTCAAGTACAGTTTTCTGTTTTTTACTCCCATCCCAGCCCACCTCCCCCAGTGCTCCCCACCTCCCTCCCATTTCCACCCCCCTTAGTTGTTGTCCATGTGTCCTTTATACTAGTTTCTGTAAATCCTCCCCCTTTTCCCCTGAAATTCCCTCCCCTCTCCCCTCTGGTCACTGTCCCCAGCTACTTTTTGAGTTAGAAAAAAAAACCTCAAACAACTTTAACCATTCTGGCTTTGATTTGTGGTTCTGCTAACAGAAGTATCTGGCGTTACATTAATTTGAGCAGAAATAATTTCTCCTTTCAGGGGATGAATATGGTGCAGTTTGCATTTCATGACCTCAGGGGTGTCAGAATTGTGTATGTGAATGTGTGTGTGGAAATAGTCATGGATAACAAAATTGAAAGTAGATCTAGTTTATTGCTTACTAAATGATCATAGAAAGAGGAAGAAGTGTAGGTGTGGTGAGAGAGAAACTGGGGGAGATAAAAGGAAATAGTACTCTCTAGCAGGATTTTAATTTAGTACTTTATTGAGATGGCTACCTTGTTAGATGCTATTGGTGTTAAAATATCACAACAATTTTTAAAAAATTAACACTTTCATAGCACCTGCCAGGTGCTAGCGATAGTCTGAGCACTTTTAGTAAATCAATTTATTTAAACCTCCTAACTATGTTAAACCTCAAAAACTTATAATCAGATTCCAGGATTATAGTTTACACATGTAAAATAACTATAGCATAATAATAAGTAATGCATAATTGAGTAAAAATATCTGTGTGTCACTAAAAGAGCCTGGGCTTTGGAGACACACACCTGGGCTCTGCCTCCAGTTAGTTCTGTGGATCTCAACACTGCTCATTAGGGTCACCTGGAAAGCTTTAGAATCCCCATGCCCAGACTGTCTGTCGGACCGATTAAATCAGAGCTCTTGGTATGGGGCTTAGGCAGTATTGTTGAAGTGGTTTTCAGTTAATTACATATGCAGCCAAGGTTGAGGACTACTTTTTAACTTGTACAGATCACTTAATCTTTTCTTTATAAGAAAAATACAAGGGAGGACACCTGGAATTATCTTCTGGAAGGCAGGCCCCTTGTAGTACAGGCTTCACCTGCTAGGTGAGTGTTCTAGGAATCCATCTGTACCAGTGTACCAGTGTACCAGTGTACCAGCTGGTGTTGTGAGAGGTTATGTTCAGTTACAGTGAATTTGTTTTAAAGACTCTTTCAATGTGTTTGTCCATTTCAGCATGGGTGATTTCCAAATGCATCTACCCACACTGTACTGAGTGTTCAGCAGTTTTTGACCAAAAACAGAGTGACGCCCATGCCCCACCCTCCCTGTTTACATGATCTCGCTATGAATGATTATTTTTCCCCCAAGATGAAAAGTTCTCAAAGGGAAACACTTTGCCAATGTGGAAGCAGTGACACAAAAAAAGGCAGAAGCACTAAAAGGCATCAAAGTCGGTGAGTTCAAAAAACTATTTTAAGCCGTGGAAAAATGTCTCAATAGCTGTATTGCATCAAATAGATAGTATTTTGAGGGTGAGTGAAGTTTAAACATGTAAGAATAAATACACAGTTTTTGATAAATAAATTACGGTTTTTTGGGGGGGTGTCTCTCTTTGTATGTATAGCATCTCCCACAGTGCCTGGTATCTATCAATTGTTGAATATATTTTACTCCCCACCCCCACCTTAATTAAGCCACAGTAGTTCAGAATAAAGAAGGTGCCGTGAGGGCAAGAGTTGTCTGGAAGTCACCATGGAACACATAATGAAATCAGGTCTTTTGGATAGACAGGATTTGGACATATGGAATGGGGCGGTGCTTTGGGATAGTGATGAGGTGGCCTGAAGTGAGACTGCAGATATGACTGGCCTATAGAATATCTGTATATGTCGGAGAGAAAAAATGTCTGCTGGGTGAAAGGGGTTTCCAAAGTTTCCACATGTAGAGTACAGCAGTACTACTAAAAGATGCAATGCAAAAAACTTTAAGAGTGTGTTTGCTTTGCCATCCAATTCTCTTTTACAATTTTCTGTGTTTTTTATTCAAAATATAATTTGCTTTCTAAATGTAATTTTGACCTGGCATACAGGGTTTATAATCAATAACTAACCCCTTCGCCTCTTTGCTTGGTCTCTTATTCTATGTGATTTAGGTACAGCCTTATGTTTAATGTTTGTTGTTTAATTCCTCAAGAAAACCTCCTTCTGGAAGAGCCTTTACTTCATAGAGATGAGCATTTTGCGGCCATATAGAACCCTCTTGGATGGGGTTAGAATGGAATCTCCTGCTTTACTTCCTCCCCTTTTAGAGGTGAGATGAATTGAGGCCCACAGAGTTAAATGACGAAGTGAAATCGTGCTGTTAATGACTGGGGCTGGGCCAGAACTGAGGCCCAGAAGTCTCCAGTTTGCTGATCCTTTTATTATGTTTGGCTAGGTCAGCACAAAATCATCAGCTGAAAATGAAATATGGCATGACTGTCTCTCTGGTAGTCCTTATAGGAAAACCCATACACAGTTTTTTTAATGAATTTATCTTCATTTCAAACACCTGAATTTACTCCGTGTTGATTAAGACTATGTTTAAAAGAAAAACATCGGTCCCCCACTGGTGTAACTCAGTGGATTGAGCGCGGGCCTGCAAACCAGAGGATCTCGGTTCAATTCCCAGTCAGGGCACATGCCTGGGTTGCAGGCCAGTTCCCAGCAGGGGACTCATGAGAGGCGACCATACACTGATATTTCTCTCCCTTTCTCCTTCCTTTCCCCTCTAAAGATAAATAAATAAAATATTTTTAAAAGCTATTTAAAAAATAAAAACATTGTTGTTAATTTTCTTTCTAATAGGATGGTGGGATGGGATGTGGAGGCCTTTCTGCTCATGAGATTATATGTGGTGACATTTGGAGGGGCTCGGTGTTCTGTCATCAGGTCCCTGGCTATCTAAGAGCACCTGCATCCTCTCCCGCAGACATTTCCCCAACCGCACACCCTTTGCTCACAGCTAATTTTGCAAGAATGAGGCCTTCCTTGGCCACTTGCTGCCCAGCCTGAAGAAACAAGTGGCCAAATACGAGCACATGAAACAAATATGGTGCAATTAGTTTGCAGGCACAAAATCACAGATACACAAAAAGGACAATAGATTGGGTTTCTAAAACTGTGGCCTCAATGGTTCTTCCTACTACATACTTATACAGACATAACTCTCTGTGTTTTGCATTGGTTAACAATGCCTTTTTATTGAGTTAGTAATAGTGCTTAAAATAGACATCTGTATATCATCTGCAGGACTGGAGTTCCATGCTATTTTAAATGATACCAGCTCCTAACTAAAATTGTCAAAAAGAAGGACAAAAATTCTACTGAGGGAATCAAAGCTGTGATTTTTGAAATAAAATATGACATATGTTTTCGGAAAAAAACACCCTAAGGCATAAAACTGCCTTTTGGGAGAAGTTATATGATTTGTAATTATAGCTTTGTACTTAATGCAAGTTAGAGTTCAGTTATTTAGTGAATCAGATTGGGCAATATAATGAAGAAAAAATTTAAGTTTGTAATTTAGGACCACAGTAAGATATAAAATCATACAGATGATAATACTAATTCCAGACTTTACAATGCTATAAAATAAAGCAGTTTTGACATAAGAAGAAAAATACTACCCATATTTTCAGTATTAGAGACATTAAAGTGTAAGTTGTCATGTTTTCTTCCTAAAAATATGATTAAGCTTTTATTTACATATTAGAAAATGAAATCTGAACTGTTTTCCTTAAAGACATTCTCATTCAATAGTCATTGAATACATTTATTTTCCCAAATAAGAAGAATTCATTTTTCTTTGTTAAGTAACAGATTTTATTCTTAGGTTATGTCTTATAATTAAATTATTTTCTAAAGATTAGAAATCAACTTAAAAGTTATATAAAAGAAAACAGTCACTCAAGATTATATTAGCTAGTAGTATTAAAAAGATATTTTGACCATCGCTGTGAATTAAGCGATGTGAAAAAATGAATCCAGTTCTGCCAAATGCTTATATCATGCTGTGAAAATCAGATTTTGGAAACAACCTGTGGCCTAAAAAACAATAAGCTGAAGCTAGAGCTCCTAAATAAACTTCCTGCCAATGCTGTCTACCATGATAACATCTTCCAGCAGGAGGGAGCCCTAACATCAAGGACGGAAATCAAAAAAATCCATTCTTGCAAACCACTGTCGCCAATCTCACTCATTTCGTTGGACTCCTTAGGACCTCCCAGGTGGAGCAGTTACCCCTGGCTGTGCCTGAGCTGCTCAAATTCTTCTGTGCAAGGGAGGAGGGCTTGGATCTTGGTTTTAGTTCAGCAACCATTTTAAAACTATTAGACATTGAAAAGGACAATCTCTGCTCTGGAGAAAAATACAATCCAGGGCAGTCATCAGTCAAAACACATATCTAATGCACCATTGATATATTAATACGCATACACCGTGACAGGTGTGCAAATACATATATATTTATATTTATTATGTGCATTATAAAACAAAAAAGAATTATTAGATAAAAATAAATGTACATATATTTTAATCTGAACTGGCTTTGTCTTGTGTCACTGACCCATTCTGATGCATCATTCTACTTCACAGACTACTGATGAGACAGAGAGAAATGTGGAAAACAAGCACTTGAAGCCATGAGATAAGTGCTATTGTAGACATGCATCCAAAGTATTCTGGGAGGACAGAAGAGAAGCTAATCTGGGGGGTGGAGTGGTAAAGAAAGGCTTTCTGGAGGGAAGATACAGCGTCAGGAGAACTGGCCAAAGATGAGAAGACAACTTGTAGGAGCAGGGAATAACGTGGACAAAGCCTGGAGTCCTGCAGCAGTATTGCTGGCATAAAGTGAGGCCGAGAGGCTGGGATGAGTTGAGAGAAATAGGAAGGGTCAGCTTATGGAGGCCTGGAATTGTCACACTAGGATGATGGGCTCGCCCGGGGAGTGCATTTGGGGGGTTTCTCTAAGGAAGTCCAGCTGCTCAGGTTACCAGGGGGTTCCTGCCCTATGGGCCTCTCCAGGGAGGAGCAGGCTCCGCCACAGCTTTGTGTCAGGGCCTGGTGTAAATTAATGCAAATCTAACAGACAAGACCTCTTGAAGAATCTCAGTAATGTATCTTCAACTTTTTGTTGAAGAACTTTTGACTTGGTTCAGAGGAGGAACGGAATTAAGTTGTTTTACGATTCTCATAAATTGTCTTCTGATAAAAAAAAACACAAGACACATTGGTGTCTCCCTTGTATTCAAGAATATATATCTCATTTAGCCAAGAGAATCATAAACTATACCACCTGACACATCATAATGGGAAAGTCCCTCTTTATGCACCGACTGTAATTTATTATTTAGAGCATATGTTCAGGAATGGGGATATGCTCACGTTTGTTAACTGTGCATGCCAAATTGTGATTCGTCCTGCCCATTTGTGAAACTCATTCCCCATTTAAACTGTGGTGTGAAGTTCATGGCAAGGGTAAAAATGCTGAGTATTTTTTCAGACTTTTTAGATGAAGGGAGACCTGGGGTCAGGAGGCCAGAGTGGGTAACCAGGAATCTTAGAGGTGCTCCCTGCACCTCTTAATGTCTCAGAGGCATTTCAGTCCCATCTCTGGCTCGCTCCCCTGGTCTTCCCTGAAAGAGGCGTGCCAGGGAAGGGGAGAGGTGGAAATGCAGACAGTGGCTCCAAAGTCTGTCATTCACGGACTGCTCTCGGCTTAGGAAGGATTGAACACTAATTGGAATTGGCCATCACAATTTCCTGCCTCTATTAATGCTCAATATACGGAATATAATAGCGATCATTCCCAAATGCTTTTTTTTAAATTAGAGCAGACTATTTAAAACTGAATGTGTATTCTTTGGCTTTCTTTGATTCACAAGGTCAATAGACACTCAGTTTGCCCCTACTCTGTAGAAAGCACAGTCCTGAGTGGGTTGATCCAGTGTGAGCAGCCAGACTCCTGCCCTTATGCGACCGAGAGCCTGGGAGCACTAACAGTAAACACTTGACGACATGCTTAATCCCTTAAAGAATTCTGGAAACTGCTATGGAAGAACAGCACAGGGCTCTATGGGAGTATAGAAAAAGGAAACAAGTCAGAGGCTCAGGAAGACTCTGGCACAAGTCACGTGGGCTGAGGTATGTAGGAGAGTAGGAATTAAGTGGGCAAAGAGTAGAGAGTGAAGAGAAAGTGTTTAATTAATCAACATATTTCACATAGTAAAACAATGCATTTCATATGAATGAAAAAGTAACTTGTTACCCTGATTATAAGAATTTTTAAAGTAAGCACATACTTATCTTCATTAGAGTTTTTGAGAGAGACGTGATAGTCACCTTTTGTGTCCCCGGACGGACACATTTTTAGTTCGGCCTGTGAAATGGTTTCGATGTAGTCAGAGGGAACAGGCAGTAACCCACAGGCTTCCTCGGGGTGAATCGGCAAGCCACAGTCCTGCATTAAAATGACAGAAATCAGTTGTCAGAGTAACTAACCTGCCCTAGAGTAATAAAATCTAAAAACTAAGGTGTTCTGTGCCAAATTTTTTTTTATGGATAACAGGGAGCAATTCTTGCTTATTCTTTTTAGTGTATTGATTTATCAATAGTTGTGTGTACTGTAAGTACACGTAGCTTCTCACATTAGAGGATTAATGTCATAAATTTTCATGACAATTTAATGCTTTGGTATTGATATTCATGTACTGCTCTGTCAATTTTTAAAGAAATAGATGCAAGTTTTACTTTGAAAATACCCTGAGTGCTGACACATTAAAAACATGCTATAATGGGGGATGATCTTATCCTCTAATGCCGTGGAAAAGACAGTCACTATGAAAATGAGAGAGAAATGGGAAATATTCTGGAAGAATGCTGACGTAACAGACGGATTTTTAAAAATTGTTTTTATAAGGAACATATGTTCAATGTTCAATCGAACATTTGAACATTGAACGTATGTTCAATGTTCAATTACAGTTGTCTCCATTTACCCCCACCATTCCCCCCACCCCAGCCAAATTAACAGATGAATTTTATTTCAACATTTATTAAGGACACATGATGTGCCAGAAATGTAATTAAATACATGCATTTTATTCAGAGCACGGTCACACATTTACACAAGCAGGTGACACCTTCAGGCCATGAGCATTGTGGAGGCCCATTCCATCCGCACCAAGCACCGCCTCTGCCCTCTGACACGCAGGGGAGGTCAGCGTTTGTTGGCTCTCTGGAACCTGTCTCCTCATTGCTTCTCTGCTCCAGCAGGTTGGATCACTCTCATTTTCTCTTAGCTTGTTCTTCAAAGCTATTGGCACCTGTACCTGTCCTATGTCCTACCTACCTCACCTGGTTCCACAGCCACCCTTCTCACCAGGTTCTCTCAATTCACCATGATTTAGAGCAGGTAAAAATGCTGTGATCTCTCCCAGGAATGTTCTCCCTTAATTTTGCATGGAGAGTACTTTTTCTGTTTTAGGCCTCAGCAAGGCCTTCCTGAAATCCTCACACAATTACAGAGCCCTGTTTTTGTCTATGTCGGCACCACGTGTCTCCTTCCTGCTACCCACCCTTGGTAATTAGGTTTGCTGTTTGAGTCTTTTCCACGAGACTGAATGTCCCATGAGAACAAATAGTTATTTCACCCCCACACACACCCAGTAGTTACCACACAATAGGAAAAATAAATATATTTGAATGCATACAAGGTTAGAGTTGTCTCTCTCCTTATGTAATAAATTCTCAATAATGGAAGTAATTAATCAGTTTGATGTCTTCTTTGATCTTTAACTCTGCCTCTAGTGAGCAATTCCTAGTTGCCTTCCCTCACACTCTCAAACATCCTGACCCTCAATTCAGATTCCCAGGTCTCAAACACAAAGATCCGGAGTACTAAGGGATGGCAGGCATGGGGTGGTATACAGCTCCTTGAAATCTTGATTCAGTAGACATATTTTCATGTTTAATTCATGACTGAAACTGGAGTTTAAGATCCTTATTAAAATTATAGAAATATGATTTGTATTAAAATGTTCGTTATAATAAAACAATTAAAATAACACAAAGTTTATAATGCAAGGAGTTTTTAGTATGAATAAATCATCTGAATGAGGGTGTGTTTGTGTATGTGTGAAACATCTATCTATACATTTATTTTTAGTGAAGGCTAACCTTTTTTAAGGCTAGAAAAATGGCATTATGTGTGTATCATAAAAAGATAAAAAGATGTTTATGTTAATATTATAGAGAGCAGTGAGAAGTAATTACCATCATATAGTGCCAATGGGAGTGTAAATCGGCTCAGCTATCTCAGAACACAATGTGCACTAAACCTAACAATCCACAGACTCCACAGCCTTGAAGTCAGACTTTAGAGCCCACTCCAGAGAAACTGTTGTGACATGCATAAGAACATGTATGAGGACAGATAGAAATGAACTAACGTGGAGAAATTTCTAAGACACATAATGAAGAAAAACCTGAAGAACATATTTTGTTACAGAACAATATATACCATGTGAGACAGACCATGAACATATTACAACATCTAAAATTCATGTACTTCATACTAAGTTGTTGCATTCAATGATTAACTATATATATTATTCATTATATATAATCACATGTATATGTAATAATGTTGGAATATTTCTAAAAGTCTGGATTTAGTTAAGCTTTTGCCTGAAAAAGTTTATCGTTTAGGGTCTATGTGGTGTATGTTCATAAGCACACCCCAGTATTCATCCGGAGGGCAGTAGAAAGAGAGTTCAGACTGAGTCTCGGTCTTGTGTGTGGAGGCCTTGCATGTAATCGGCAAATACCCATCAACCAGAAAGATGCCCTGTGGGAACTACCTCAGTCACTGAGACTGGGTGTGCAATACTTCAGATTGGCCTGAGTTGCCTCCTTTCTGAGGAGCTGGCATCTGAAATGAAGGCTGCAGATAACTGGGAGGTGGGAATTCCAAGAAGCAACTGTATGTCAGAGGCATGAGGTGGAATTTATCTGACATCTTCAGTTAAAACAAGTTGTTTTTAAAAACATGCTGACGAGCTATGTTTTAATATCAAATCGTGTCATCTTCTTGAAGATGGCACCTCCAAGTTAACACAAAACTCAGTGGAAGAGTGGTTCATTCATAATGTGGTCCTAGGTGTTGTGGATACATCTTTAAAAGACAGAGCTTTTAAATTAATACCTACAATGTGTCAAGTGCCATACTGAGAATGAAAGGCCCTGACCTCAGAAGACGTGGTCTAACTGTTCAACAGAAGATTCTTCTTAATCTTGAACTGAAATCCACATCTTATTTGTTTTAATTACCCTCTTAACTGTAGCTTAGAAGAGATTTACTGTAATGATACAGAAGCATGTGCTGATCTGATTTTAAAGCTGCTGAAGCACATGACTGGCAATAGAGAGCAATGCCCAGGATCCTGCATATGGGCCCATGATAATAGAATAAACATAATGCAGGATGCAGAAAAGCAAAGTGTGGGTGGGAGCCAGCTGAGCGGCCACTCCTGCTACTTAAAACCACGGCCTGGTCTCTGTTTGACTCCTGTGTCAACCTCAGCTCAAAGTTCCCATGGGCACCTGCTGTGCAGTCATCGGCATGTTGCCTTACGGGTTCTAACTAAGCAGCCACATCTCTAGCAAATTCCAAATAAGACAAGAATCAAGGCAATATTGCAAAGGATAGACAAAGCAGAGACTAGGAGAAGGACAGTATATTTTGAAGTAAATAAAATTTAAAGTCACACCTGTTTTTCTGTGGTTTAGGCCAAAGAATATTCTATTATATTCTGCGCTCCCATTAAATTTCTCCTGAGTGGTTAAGCTTTGTCTCCAGTCCCTATTTCCTATTCCTTTATGTTTTGGAAAGTCAGGGCAGCCTGATGGAGTGGATATTCATCGTTTTCTAGGTGTAGCCAAACAATGTAAGCCTTAACATGGAATGAAACAAAGTGTATACAGACTCAGGTCCAGAGAATGGCTGACAGAGTTGAGGGAGTTTTGAGAAGACAAAGTGGTATCAGTACAGTTGGGTGGGCTTTGTGCACTTGTCACGGGATGAGAGAACAGTGGTGTACACTGGAAAGAGCACCACCATGTGGAGTTTGACTTGTGAATTTTAGTTTTAGCTTTGCCATGCACTGGCTGTGTGATGTTGAGTAAGCCGGCTGATTTCGTTTTCTCACTGTAAAAGGGTGAAAGGTGGAGAGAGAAGATGGGGAGGCTACATTAAATGATTTTGGGTACTGCAGCAGACAATGTCATGGGCCTACACAGTATCTATTCTCCTTTCTCCCTTTCTAACAGAAAGACCTTTGTTTGGTTGTAGGAAGCAATGTATCTAGCATTAAAAAAAAACCACCCAAACAAAACTCTATTTCCCAGTCTCCTTTGTAGCTGGACATGGCTGTGTGACACAATTCTAGCCAAAGACATGTGAGTGGAAATGGGCTATAGATCTCTGGAAAAGTTTTGCTTCCCTGATACCATTTTTTCTCTGTCATTCTGTTTCCTCTTACCACTTGGAACGCAGATGTGAGCCTAAGGGAGGAGCAGCCATGTTGTAACCATGAGGCAACCATGAGCAGAAAGATAGAAGGAATTGGGCTATGTATTTCTGCACTTCCTGCTGTGGAAGAAAAACAAATTCCTACTTGTCAAACAACTATAAACACAAAAGATGCAGCCATATTTCTCTCTTACTCTAAGAGTCTTAGGAAACTTACTCTTCTCAGTCCACATAAATCTTTTTCAATATTTCTTTAGATCTTAAAAGTGATTACTTCGAGTAATTAAAAAAACTTAAACAATCTTGGAGGAAAAAATTAATTAGTATCTCTCATTTCTTCTTCACTGGTGTGATTAGTAATTTGGTCAATTTCAGGCATATTCAAAAACACTAATGACAGCTTTTCTGATTTTAAGTGTCATCTCTTGGAGCTCCAAGTCTAGATGCATGGAAAAGGCAATATTTTGCAGTGTTGGTTAAAATGACATCAACTCTAGAAGGCTCCACGTTTAGAATGTATCATTTTGTTGGAGATTTCACAAATTCCTGAGCAGGCTGTCATAGTTCTCAGTAGAAGTCAATAAGATAATTAACAGGGGTTTTCTTGTTCAAACATGTGCAGAGTATGTATGTTTAGTACACAATTTAAAATATAATTAACTTTTCATGCAGTGCTGCATTGACTAACAGAAGATACTGAGGTGCCCTCGGTTTTGCCCCATGTCCTACCTATGAATACGTGACCACTGTTTCTTGTTAGTTTCTCTGAAAGCCCATTTAATTTCTTACAGAGTAGTTAGTTACAAAGAATTAATAGTACTTCTCATTTTAAGGTGATATTGCTATATTTTTAGAGTAATACCAAATTGGACTATTCGATCTGGCAGGTATTTTTAAAACCTACTTTTTTGAGCACTGGCTGGTATAGC